GAAAACCAAACTGACTTATCTTTTCTTTGAACAAAGTTATAGGCAATCAAAATGGTAGCGGGACTTTTGCCCCACCCTGTACATATATACGTGTGTAGTATGACATATATAATATAGTCACAGTATATACCTTGTACAATTTTGATAATATTCGTTGAGATTTGATAATATTCTTCGTTAAGCTGCCAAGATTTCACAATGTTAGCCATTATTTAAGTATATTCAAGCCTATAACAGTCAAAGCTAGATCTTTTAAATGCCTAAAAAATTCACACTGAATTATCTATATCTTATATATGTACATGTATATATACCATATTTTTGTAATTATTCAAACTGCGCGCCGAAATTTTTCCGGACTTTATCAAACGCACAATATTTAGTCACAATAAATTATTTTATTTTCCAAAACTACTAAGTAATTCTGACTACATATAATATATAATATATTTTCAAATAATTGAATATCGTACATCAAGTCAAACAGAAATAGTTTTACTTTGAAGATAAACTAGAGTTTAATCAACACTATTTGTCGTCAGAACTACTTAGCAGTTTTGGAAAGTTAAGTTGTTTATTGTGACTAAATAAATATTGATTTGACATTGTTAATATGGTTTACGCATTACCAATTCAAAGCTATTGATCCAACATATGTATTTAATAATAATCTTACTTTTCAATAAATAATTAAGTTATATTATTTGAAAAATATTTTTTTCAAAATTTATGTACAGTTAAAGTAACTAAATATTTAAGGCTCTCATGTACTTTAGTTAATAATAGATTGGGTCAGTCTTACCTAAGAATTTTTCTATACCTATAATATAGAATATACGAGGTCTGGCTATTAAATAACGAGACTGCTTATGAAAAAGAGTTTATTTTAAAAATTATTCTACAATTGAATGCTCCCCTTCAATGTACTCCCCTCCCCTCGCCACACACCGTTCCATTCGTTTTTTCCATTGGTCAAAGCAATGCTGGAAGTCTTCTTTTGTAAGAGCATTTAGGAGCTCCGCCGATTTTTGCTTCACCTTTTCCATCGACTCGAACCGGGTTCCTTTTAAGGCAGACTTGATCTTCGGAAACAGGAAAAAGTCACAGGGTGCTAAATCAGGCGAGTACGGCGCGTGTTCGAGCACTGGAGTGCCTCTAGCGGCTAAATAACGCTTCACAGACAGCGCGTTATGGGCAGGTGCGTTGTCCTGGTGTAAGATCCACGACTTGTTTTTCCACAACTCCGGCCGTTTCTTACGAACTCGCTCTCGCAGTGTTGCCAAAACTGTCAAATAGTAAGTTTGGTTTACAGTTTGACCCTCTGGAACCCATTCAGTCATCACGATGCCGTTGATGTCGAAAAAAACGATTAGCATGGCTTTAAATTTTGATTTCGACATCCTTGCTTTTTTCATTCTTGGCGATGCAGGAGTTTTCCAGTGCATGGATTGCCGCTTAGTTTCAACATCGTATTGGAATATCCAGGTTTCATCGCAAGTGATGATGTTTTCCATCAATTCAGGCTCTTCATCTAACCTCTCAAGAAAATCTGAGCAGATCTGTTGACGGACGAGCTTTTGGTCAGGGGTCAAATTTTTTGGGACCAACTTCGCACAGACTTTCTTCATGTTTAATTCGTCATGTAAAATTTTTCTGACAGTTTCTTTATCGGCGTTTACAGTCTCAGCAATCATCCGAATGCTCATACGACGATCTCCGCGCACAATTTCATTGATTTTGGTCACTGTTTGCGGAGTTGAAACAGAGACAGGTCGACCTGGACGTTGGTCATCTTCGGTGCTCTCTCGGCCTTCAGAAAACCGTTTATACCATTCGAAAACACGCGCACGAGATAGAGAATTCTCACCATAGGCCTCTTTCAACAACTTATAGCACTCAGTCGGAGTTTTTTTTAATTTAACGAGAAATTTCACATTGATCCGTTGCTCGTGTTTTTCGTCACACATTGTTATCGGCACGAGAAAAAAACAAGTTCGTTTCTAACCTCTATAGAAAAAATACTACTACTGCGACAAAAACGTGTTTTCGTACTGGAATAGTAGACACTTCCAGCTATCCAACGCTGCATTCGTTTCCCACCCTACCCCTCTAGGACGCCTTCTGCGCGCGCAGTCTCGTTATTTAATAGCCAAATCTCGTATACTTGATAAAACATTTGGTTTACCTTGAATATGTATAATTTATAAAAACGTTATTTCATATAATAAAGATACAGTTCTATTCAAACAAATCCTCGCACTTAGAACAATAAAATATATCTGATATAAACGCATTTAATTGATTCCATTACACTATTCAAATAAATATAACGATGCTAGTAACTAATTTTTTTTCAAAGACTATTAAATCATAATAATCTCATTAACTTAATGAAATGATTGAATCATTTCCGTTAACCAACATTGAACAATTTGTTAAGTAGACTATGGTTAAATTCGATTAAACAAAATTTGTTGCATTAACCAAATCTGCAATCAACTAAATGTGTTTAATTGGTTAAACAAATTTTTTTTCTCAGTATACACAAAAGCGATTGGCCAAAACTTACGGGACATCCTGTATAGTATTGTTGTATATGTATAAATCAAAGAAAAGATATGCGCATTAATGATCCAAAGATATGTATTAAAGGTTATTATGAATATTTTAATAAATTTTTTTATATAACAAATACATACAATTAAAAAGGATTAAATGTGGAAAGTAAAGATATTTATTTTAATAATTTTATAGTCTTCCGAAAGCTTGCCAATGGCGCGCCAGTGGCATTTTGCGCGTGAAGCGGAAATACGAACAAACGTTATACTAAAACTCACTGGGACAAATGGATGCAACGAAACAAAATGGATTTCAAATTTCAAAGAATATACAATATCTGATATTTTGAATTTTGTTGTTAAAATGTGTTAATTTTTAGTAATATTACTTTATATATTAAAATTGACCCTAAATTTTAATTATTTAAATATTAAAAAATTATTTAAAATCAAATACGTATTCGCAAGTAATCTTAACATATAATGATCTTAAATATATGTTAAAATATGTCGATGTTCTTATTATAACTATTGTAGGATTAAAAATTACTGTACAAAACTCTAGTGTGCGTGCGTGCGTGCGTGCATGCGTGCGTGCGTGCGTGCGTGCGTCCGTGCGTCCGTCACGAATCTTAATTTTATTTTAATACACTTCTCATACGTTATTACACTATTTCTCTGTTTATGTTATTTTTTTATTATATTTTTTTTGAAAGAGAGATTTTACCCTTTATTCTATTACACTATTTAAAATGAGAATATTAATTTAAATTAGATTTTAATTGACATTAAAAAATTGAATTTTTCTTATCTAAATTTGCGCGTCAGACCACTGCGCCGGCGCGCGGTATCGAAATTTTGAAATCTCATACTCATCTCTCAAAGATTTCAACTAAAAAAGATTTTAAAAAGAAGTAAATAGTTTTGAAAACGTCTTAACGTCAACTACAAGACTATGCAATGAAAGATATGGGTTTTTATTTCTAAAATTCAAGTTGACATGACCCTTACAACGCCACCCAAGGTCAATTGCATATGCCTATGTAATTACTTGATCTCGATGAAATTATCGGATTTACACAATCAATCTGATAATCCCTCTGATAATTTGAGGGGATTATCAGATTGATTGTGTGAGTCCAATAATTTCATCGGTTCGCAATTTAATTCTGAAAAATTAATACAATTTAAATGAATGTACAATATATTATATAGTAGTTCAACATCTTAATACTCGGGACGGTAAGGCGCTTCGTATTTCAAGTTTTAATATAAACGGACCCATTTCCAATCATATTGTTTAAAAAAATATAAGTCTAATATTTTCTCATGCTCTACAACATATCCTGTTTTCTCTGCTGAACGCAGCCAATGGCTGCATTCAGAACGACAATTGCTCACTGAGTGTTCAGTGAGCTTTTTCATCTGATTGGCATATTCCATTAAATCTAAAAATATAAACCAACAAGATACAAGAACTTACTGAGCGCTCAGTGAGTTATTATGAATGCATCCAATGTTATAATTATTTCGCATTCTATAATGTAACTCCCAAGAAATATAGAAAAGTTAACATAAATTCAAAATGACTTTATTTTGATGCTTAAAGTCAATGAACGATCAAATTTTGTAACAAAAATCATTATTTTAATGTTTTATGAAATGATGATAAAAAAATGAATATGTTATTATACCAATGTTAATACAAAAACTTTGAAAAAATTATACAGAAAAAAATTAGAAAAATTAATTACAATAAAAATCACAACAACGTATATCAAAGTACATTCTTTTGACTTTTTCTCGATTTGGTGTGTTCCTGGACTATTATATAACTTGGAACGTTATATTACATTTATATTGGAATACGAAATTACAACATTGATATTATGTTACTTTTAATTTGTCGACTGAGTGGAGTTACATATCTTCCGAATTCTTCGCAAATAGTGCACTTTTCATTGAGAGGAAACTTTAAATTGTACATGCGCATAATTTTTCGCCGCAAATTGATTTAACAAGAAAAATGATTATTCCAAAACTTTTCAACTTAATTTAATGAAGAATAGCTCAATAGACGCATACATAATGATGACAATATTTTAGTATATATGATTAAATAAACAAAATAAGAATACGGACTTATATTCTTATAAAATAAGAATACCATCTTATTTTCTGGATATCAAAATTACTATCAGAATATGTAATTTCATCTTTTTTCATTTTTGCTGTTAACTACATTTTTTAATTATATAATTTATGGTTATATCTGAAAAGAATTACGTTCAGTTTAAAAATTTTGCCGCGATAGCTGCTCCATTTATCGGAAAAATGCTAAAGCAAAATGCACACAATTACCTGCTATGCACGATTATCCCACATTCCTCTATATCTTTTTATATAAATTTTTATGTTTCTTTTTTCAATGTACATCAAAAGTAGTGAGAATCGATCTAACAAATGAAAGCTTCATTCCTGGTAAAAAGAATTACGAAAGAATTCGGATAGCGTTAGAAGAACGACTCACCCAGAAGTTTGATGTTATAGTATCATGGGATCCACCAGGTTTACATACACTTTTAAAAATACGCATATTATATATATATATATATTAGGGCAGTCGTTATGTTAACAATTTTTGAAATATAATCGGAACATTCCCTAAAGTGGTTCAATATTTCACAAAAATAACACTATAACAATAGAACACAATAGAATTTTTTCAGATGTTTTTTAAATAATATTAATCCATACCACCGAGACTAATAGACGGAAAAGCACCTTTGTAAACAAAATTCAGCCGACGCTCTAATTCTTAACCAATTTTAAAGATTTTTTTTATTGGCTCAAAATTGAATAAGCTGTAGCTCATTCTGCATAAATTTTGATTACGGTTCAAATTAAAAATGGCCAATCCAATATTCGTTATCATATAATTTTGATTTTTTTGCTCACTTTATTCTTCATTCTGGCAGGAAAATTTCTATGCCAAAGTATGCCAAAAACTATTCTTAAAATTCCTTTTTCACGTACTAGTTGGCATAGGAATTTTTCCGCCAGAGCGACTATTTTTTATTTGAACTATTGTCAGTGTGGTTAAAAGTAGGGATTTCTCCTTAATGTAGGGAATTTTTACCTCAAAAAAGGCGTAGGGAATTTTAAATTAAAAATGTAAGGATTTTTAAAACTTCGAAAAAACTCGCTATCTAGTGCAAATAGAAAACAAACCATACATTAGAATCCGTATAATATTGAATGTAAAAGATCATGTCTCTGTTGTCATTGGCTACGAAAGGATATATAGCGCGACCAGTCATTGCTGTTGTACATACTGCATATATAAGTACGCCATTTTAAAATATAAATATAAAGTAAAGAGCATACAGCCACAACAATAGATGTAAAAATGAGTCATATATTTAAAAATTCACAAATAAATGAATATAAGTAGACGTTTCGGTCAAGATTTGACCATCATCAGTACATAAAAGATGACAATTAATACAATATTACAAACAAGAAACAATTCACAGTAGTCGAAAGATGTTACAATAAAATAAAATTATTGAAAAGAATACATAAAAATACAAGCCCAAAGTTCGCAAAATTAAAACAAGGTGAAATAGTGTTTTCTCTTCGCTTGTTGCAAAAGTTGAACAGCTTGAAAATAATTCAAGAGAGATGAGTGATATTTTAATCTTATGATACAATGCTCTGTTACAATTCTCGTTATCTCAAAGAGCGAAGTGCAAAATTCGTGTAAAAATACGGAATTTCCCTGTTCTATTAAAGAAAACAAAAAAGAATTTATTTTAAATTTTTTAATTATACCAATACCAAGCACTTCCAAATTCATAACAATTCCCGGAAAATAATTTAAGATTGTGATGAACAAGACTTACCACGTATCTAATGGCACGAAACTCACAACAAGATACCAGAACAAGTAACAAACTTATGTAATAGTATATTATTTAATTCAGACAATTATGAAACCCTTCCAAAACGAAAGGTTCCAGTATTGTAATGTTATCCCAATCGAAATCATGGCCTTTTTGTAACCGAAGCTCCGTACATTACGAGTAGAGGTGTTTCATCTGATGTGGTTCTTATGCTCCATGATTCTTAACTTCAGCTGTCTACACATTGTCCCACGTAACTTGCATCGCAACTCTTACACGAGATCTCATAAACAACATCCGACTTCTTGTCACGCGGTAAAGTCCTTATGTACCCTAATG